TCTGTTGACAAATTCAAAATCGAAAGAATTCTCAGCAGGAAAAGATGCAAAAACTTCCTGAGCTTTCCCCTTAAATTGTCCCTGCATAATGGCAACCCATTGATCCACAGGCCAATTTATGCTGACTGCTAACATCTTAAAATGTAAAAAGAATATTTCTGGGTCTTCCTCATTGAATTTAGGTAAATCTACATGTTTACTATATTTGGAAGAACCATTAATACTCTCTGGATTATTGCTAGTGTTACCTTGCCCTGTTGCAATTCTCTGTTCCTCCAACCTGTTATTTTTTTCAGAAATACTCTGCTGAATTTCTAATTGTTTAGTTTGCTACTCGGCTTGTTTAGTTTGATACTCTGCTAGTTGCAACTGAGCCTCCAACATCTGTTGCTTAGTCTCCAACTCAAGTTGTTTTTGCTGGTTCTGCAACTCCAACCTCTGTTTTTCTGCTTCCAGTCTAGCCATTTCTAATTTAGTCTCCATCTCCAACTTTAAGATTGCCACCTGGTCACTTGACTCTTCTTCTAACTCTCCTAAACACTCCTCGTCAAGTTGCTCCTCCTCCACCAAGTGTGTGACAATGACTCTTAACAACTGAGCCTTTAACATTTCACTGAAAACTGTTAGGTTCAATTTATCAGCCAGAAACAACAAACCAGACTTCTTCAAGTCTTTAATTTTACCAAAATTGGGCTGCTCCACCAGCACAGCAACCTGATCCTCCATGGTTGGCTCAATTATCACAACTTAGCACTTAAAACAACACTGAAAATTTTGCTTGGCCCCTGGCACAATCTGAACACTTACCTCAATCGTGAAGCGTTGAGACGTTTTCACAGCAGCTCAGACTGAACAGAGAATATGTACACAGGCTTGATTAGGTGTCACTAGATAACCACAGAGTACCTAGGAAGCGCAGAATCAAGAGGGAGGAGATCAAAGTATTTGGCCCAAGAAGCGGGACTAAACAAGGCTCGATACGCGTCAGTACGGGAAGGAATCTAGCGAGTGCGGCCAGGGCGCGAACGGCAATGAGAACCCCCAGAGAGAGGGGACAAAAGGAGCAGTAGTCACAACGAGAGACTTAGCCGCACCAGGGGACGAAGTGGTCACCACTGGGGGCTGGAGGCTCGACCCAACCACAGAGGAGGGAGGGGAGCTGGGGGAAGAAGTCAGGATGGTCAAAGATGGAGCAAGGTCGGGGCCCAACGTAGCGGAGGCTACAGAGCCCGGTCTTCCAAGACAGGCCGACTCGGGGGCTTGGTCGCCCACCCCACGAGCCTGAGAGGGTAAAACAGAAGCAATCAACGACATAGGTACGAAGAGTGATAAATTCATCCACGAATGTGCCCCCATACCCACCATGGAGCCACAATTAGAGGCAGGACACCCAACAGGAAGCTATTGCCGATCATGCCAGGGCCCCCTAGGGGTGCGTCGTGAGTATACGCCCCACAAACGCCACCTTAAGAACCGTCAGTCCGTCGAGATCGGGTTCAGCGACGGAAGGGGGATTGACAATAAAAGGTTCCCCTCGCTCGAGACGTTGGGTACTACAGTTCTACGGGTGCAAGAGTATGCCTCCTCAAGCACCCGGGCGTCAAAATAGAAGAAGTCCAAAGAAATAATCCAAAACAAGCAAAAGGTCGGCAGGAAACGACAAGCAGATAGGAGAAGAGGGGAGAAAAACGAAACATGAGGAAAAGGAAAAGCGATCCGGCACAGTTAGAGAAGACAGCAGCAGGAGTGCAAGGCCAGAAAAGGGCAGAGGACTGCCCCACGGAGCATCACACTCCGGCAGCCGTCCACCAAGCCCCCTCACGACGCCAATGGGCCGGATGGGGAGGGGGCCGATGGCTCACAAGGTCCCTACGTGGTGCCCTTCAGCATGTACCCACCCAAAGAGGAGGTAGGAGAGGGGGACAAAGGCAACCCACACCGGTCCCAGGGAGGTGTATGAGAGACCCTCACCACGGCAAGGAGGCACCACGGAGGGGGGGGGGATGGGAAAGAAGACATAGGAGACATGGTGGACTGGGTAGGAAGGGGGGAAACTCCAGATGGAGAACCAGGAGGGAGACCTTTCGGGACAGGACGCAAAGGAATAGGGGAGGAGGCGGAGGGTGTGTTCGGGTCTAAGGCCTGGAAACGGTTGCGAGACTGAGGAAGGTGGGAAGGATGAGGAGAGGTAGAACAATGAGATATTTTGAGATATATTGGCAGTGATATTAGCATGGATTGGTAGATGAATGGCTACCCAAAGTACACTTTTTATTACACTGCTATATTCTGCACCAAAAGTTGCCCTGGTATGCCAAATTTCACACCTCTCTGGGCACTAGTCGTGATTTAACAAAGGGTCAAAGTTGGCAATTTTTGTTGCATTTATGCATTAACAGGATGAGAGCCCATTCAATATGGACCTGTTATTTAAGAACCAAAGCAGATTTAGCTCTAATATTTTGCACATTTTCATTTGGGGTCTAGGGCTACTTTATTACAAAATTTCATTAAATTTAGAAAGGGTCGAGTGGGAGGCCTTTGGTGAATTCACATGGAATGATGCAATAATATGAGGCTACAAGATGACCTAGACAAACTGAACAAATAGTCCAACAAATAGCTCCTAAAGTTCCACTCTAGTAAATGTAAAGTAATGAAACTAGGCAGTGGAAACAGGAGGCCAGGCACAGGAAACTGAATGGGAGATGAAGTCCATGTGTGAAGTAAAACATGTGTATGGGGCAAGTAACAAAGTCAGTAGACTAACAGATGTTGTCACAGCTCGTATAAGACTTGGCTACAAGTATCTCTGGCAGTTCGGCTTGTATAGGGATCTAGATGAAGTAAAGTGTAAAGTTTGTGGACATAGGCAGGGACACACACTCGAACACTATATCTTGGATTGTTGTAAAATTGAGCCTTTTAGAGATAAATCTAAGCTCACTCTGTATGATATGGCAACCTATCTTATTACCGTGGATAAATTACCTGAAATCCTTGCACTGTACCCACATTTTGCTTCCAGTAGATGAACGACATATGAGATTCAGAAACAAGTAGTGTATTGTGAGGACTAATAATAAACAGAAGCTTCCCTATGACTAATATCCCCATTGGCCAAACTATTATGTATTAACGACAAGACCTACCATTAATGTATGATGACAATGTAAATATGTAGCTCTTGTAATAGCACTTTCTCTGTAACTAGCTGACATTGTATCTATAAGGTGTGAAGGATTGAAGAAATTGTTTATGTAATAATCTAAGATAAGGTCTGATAAAGACCTTTTGTGCCCTCTGTAATGCTTTTGCTCTACCGCTCACAGGATGAGTATGGGGTGCACAATAAACTAGCCGCCTTCGGCGGCAACAATCAAGATGAAGTCCTTCATGAAACGGACAGAGAAAGATCTAGGAGTGGATATCACACCATACCTGTCTCCAGAAACCCATATAAAAAGAATATCAGCGCATATGCAAGGGTGGCTAACATCAGAACTGCCTTCAGGAACCTGTGCAAGGAATCATTCAAAACCTTTTATACCACATATGTAAGACCAATCCTGGAGTATGCATTCTGTTCCATTCAGTATGCATTCGGGTACATTCTTTGCCACCATGTGGCACAATGTACAACCCCTTGAACTTGCTCAAAGCAAGGGTGGGTTAAGCAGGGATATGCAATGGACCACTGAACCTGCAAGGGGTTTTCAGGGTCTGCAGGGAATGGTCCTGTAAGAATCTCGGGAACTGGTATCGTTATGCTGGAACCCTGAGTAGGAAACAGGTCCTCCCGTGTTTTATTTTTTTTATTTGACATGAAGGGAAGTCTTGTTATGGAATAAAATAAGAAGGGAAGAGTCAAATGGAGACATGAATGGGTACAAGTAGGCCAATCCAGCTTGCCAGAGGCTGAGAAGGCCATCCTCAGCATGTCTTGATTAGCTCACGCAATCCACAGTGCGCCCCACCAGTCAAAAAATCGCACCCAATCTCAGGGAAGATTGAAAGCCAAAAACAAACCAACTTTCCTAGGGTGAGGACCACTACAAACAAGGAACTTGCTCCAATTAAGGGAGCAAACCCTGAACCCTCCAGAGATAAGAACCCAGGCAGCACAAGGAAGCCTCACATGCAGCGCCGAGTGCCCTACACTCCTAGCTCATGTAGCACAAATGTGCATAAGAACAGCCACAAAGGCAAAAAAGCACTTGGCTGAAATAGAACATGGGAGTCAAAACAAAAGAGGGCACCACCCACCGTCTACCATCAGTAAGAACCGAGAGTGGAGCAGCCACCTGACCCAGTCTGCCTGCCTTGTCTCCCCAAATGTGGGCTGGAGGTGGGGCTGACAAGCTTGCCCTAGTTTCGTAAATTTTTGATGGTTTGTCTATATTTTGGGGGATTTCTTTTGGTGGGTTTGAGGGATCGATATTTCCTCATAATCAACAGGGGTCTATTTTCTCTTGCAGACTTTGTGGGTGCTTCTTCGGTGATGGCAAACATGATTAAAATTCACTCACAATTTAATCAGTGCCACTGCTTGCTGCAACTCATTTAGGGGGAGGGGGGCAGGTTCTGGCTAGTGGTCTCCAATAGGCCTAAAAAACTTGGAATTATGGCCTATTAGTTTGGCATTGCATATCACAATTGTAGGATCAGGAAGCCACAAGGGGCTCCCCACAGATAGCCCATTAGCCTGAAATTTTGTGAAGTGTGCGCGTGCGTGCGTGCTTGCTTGCTTGCTCACTCACTATACCTCCTGCATTTCTCTAGGGCAGTCTTCATTCTTGCTTCTCAGTGCCATAGACAAATCCTTCAATTATTTGCCTAATGCAAAGGCTCACAATTACGTCCATGGACATTTTACACCTTTTACACCAAAAAATATGCAGCAAATATACTACCATATTAACTTCCTAATTAATGATTAATATATACTGGGTAAATATAAAATGCTGTATAATAAAATTAAGGGTGATAAATAATAGTGATTAAAAATCTTCCATTTAATTCTTAGTCTATAATATTTGCATACTATAGTAGAAAAATAAACCATTTGTTTAAAGACTAAGAGCACAGTAATGATAAGTTGCTCATGCTTGGACAGGATTCCTTCCCAGTATGTGTACCGTCTGCTCACCTGTCTTCATAATATTATAGAAAATTCTACAAAACTTCCTCATTGTTATACCAACTTTATATATTGAACAATAATTTTATGTAATTGTCCTTAAACATCTATAAAGAATATCTGGTAACATTATGGCACTACAGTCAACATACAAAATAGAAAACATTTGCCAAAGCGGTGAAGTGCTAATAATATACATACCAGCTCTTATTACCAAGTGTTCATTATGACACATGTTACCTTCATTTGAACTATAAGAAAAATCACTGTACTGAACACCGAAATCAGTTTAGTAAAAAAAACTAGTTTCGTGTAATACCAAAGATACACAATATGAAATTTACTGCACAGAGATAGTGTGTCACTTCAACTAGATTTTTGGCAAATTTTCAATACCCTCTTCGATTTTCATGCAATTTGGTACACTTTTAGATCTCCGAGAAATTTAATGACCGCTTACATCTGTAGCCAAAATGGTTCTAGAGATGGGGCCACCATGAATTTTGCCAAAAGGATAAATTGTAATCTCTGTTCCAATGGCACACAAGTCAAATACTATTTGAAATCTATCGAGTGGCTTTCCAACTTATTTTACGACATGCCTTGCGTTCCTTCAACGTACCGTATGCCTAATTTACAATCAGGGTACAAGTACAAAAGTTGACTTAATTCAACCTTTGTTTCTTGGAAATGTCATTTAATGTCAGAATTTTTTTCAAACTCAAACTATTAATTGGTAACTATTAATTGTTAGTAGCATTTAAAAAATTTTCTGTGGTAATCCCTTAATTTATGATATACACATTTAAATGGACCTAACCTTGTTTGAAAACCTTGACCATGAGCATAGATCAACATTTGGAGAGCCATAACTCTGGAGCCATTTCAGTTACTGTGGTGACAAACGTTTTTCCATTTCTCTTTATTTATATGGTCAAAAAAATTTAAATCTCTAGCATATTCCAATGCAGTATATATAATGTTGGTTATGTGTAGGTCAAATTATTCCAGAACTTTAACATCCTTCATCTTGATCACTACTGCTGCGACCTTTTTGGAAAAAACAAGGTCCTTTTCAACAAGTTTTATTCCTTACCTAAAAGATCTGATATACAATACTGTATTGAAATCCATCACAAACTCAACAAACCATAAAATGTAAAAACTGCCGAAGGGAGTTGGCAAAATCTCCGGGGCCACAGTCCGCAATATACAGTTAAGAATCCGAGGCCTATGTTGAGATGCTACATAGACAATGTAACAGCTTTTGAGGGTGGAGATGAAGATAATGCAGCCGATCAGTACAAGCTGGCTGAAACCAATAAGCTACTGGGCAAAATAGGAGATACCAATAAGTGCCTCGCAGCCCACATTATGTAAAGAGCACAAGAGAATGGAAGAAGCTGTGAAATGGAAGCTTGAATGCTTTGCTTGGCATTCAGTTTAATTTACAGACTGATAGACAAATTTAACAATTTATTGTTGAAAAAGTTTGCCGCTTTATTGAAAAGCTCAACAAGTGAAACTGAAGTTTGTGGATTAGAGGAATGGAAAACATTTGTCACCACTATAGCTGAAATGATTCCAGAGTTATGGCTCTCCAAATGTTGTTATCTGCTCATGGTCAAGGTTTTCAATCATGGTTAGGTCATAAAAATGAGTGCATTTCCTAAATTAAGGGAACACCCCAGAAAACTCATGTTATATACTAATAACCAAATCTGTACCAAATAATAGGTTGAGTTTGAAAAAATC